AAGAAAGAAAGAAAGAAAGAAAGAAAGAAAGAGAAATCAGGAGAGGGGCATAGAGGCAGTGGGGACAGGGTTTGATTTTCTCCTGTGTGACCAGGAGTCTCTACTGTGAAGCAGAAAGTAAGCAGAGCAGAAGGAGGTGAGGGAAGCAACCATGTTGACATCTGAGGAAGATGGTCCACATAGAAGGACCATACAAGAGACCGAAGTCTGTCTGGCACAGGCAGGCAAGAGGCCAGTATAGCTAGAATGAATGAGTGATAGGTCAGAGGTCAGAAAAGAGGCAGGATCCTGGAGGACTTCTAGGCTATTGTGATGACTTTGGCCTTTATCTTTTTTTTTTAATTTTTTAATATTTATTTATTTTTTAGTTTTCAGCGCACACAACATCTTTGTATGTGGTGCTGAGGATCGAATCCGGGCCGCACGCATGCCAAGTGAGCGCGCTACCACTTGAGCCACATCCCCAACGTGGCCTTTATCCTTTTTGAGATGAGGAGTTGTGACTCAAGTTAAATTTTGAAAGAATCACTCTGGCTCCTGAATTTAGATCACATTACAGAAGTGACAAGAACAGGACCAAGGACACCAATTAGGAAACTATTGTACTGAGCTAATGAGAGATGCTGTTTCATAAACTTCTAATCCTAGGCCATCTCTGACTAGCAGGCCTCCTGTCTCCCAAATCTCAGACCTATCCTTAACATCTGGTTTAGCTATTTCTAGGGATTACCTAGGTGCTTGACTCAGAGTCAGAATTTACCATATGAGTCCCAAATCAAAGAGCATATAGAAAAAAAATTGAAGGGAAGGGGTTGGACACCAGAACTAACAGTCTGGGGCAGTCCACAAAGGAGTGACCAGACTGGTACAAAAGGTATCACTTCCCATGTCCCCTCAACAATGCTTGGAATTTCCAGACCAGGCAACAAGGCCTGATCCTTTTGGTTCTGCAGATGATGACACTTAATCAAGGAAAAAACGTCAGAGTAAATCTGGAAAATGTTTTAGGAGTCCTAACAAGCAGATTATATCAATGGAAAGATGTAGCCATGGGTAAATATCAGCTGTAAAAATCATCAGAACCAAGGAAATTCCAGGCAAGGCCTGTGAAAATACTTCAAGGCTTAACTGAAACATCTCAGTTCCCAATAATTAAAAATACTGGAGGCTGGGGATGTGATTCAGTGATAGATTGCTTGCCTAGCATGCATGAGCTGGGTTCCATCCCCAGTATTGGGGAAAAATGTTGAGAAGTCTATGCACCACAAAAATAATTACAAATCTGGTAGTAAACATATTCCATTAAAGGATATGTCCCTTTTTATCCAAACACAGAAAGTGTGCAAACTAAATTTTATCTTAAATACTTTTGGGAGAAGCTTCTAACAATGGTTATCTAGGAGGAGGGGTAAAGAGAAAAGGAACTTTTATTGTCTACACTATATTTCCATAATGTTTCATTTTATTTACAGTGAATCTATAATTTTATTAATTAAAAGTAGCAATTTGGAGGCATTAAGAAAGCAATGAAGCTAGGTGTAGTTGTGAAAATCTGTAATCCCAGCAGCTTGGGAGGCTGAAACGGAGATTGTAAACTGGAGGCCAGGCTCAGCAACTTGGCAAGGCCATAGGCAACTTAGTGAAACCCCATCTCAAAAAATGAAAAAGGTCTGGGAATGTAGCTCAGTAATAGATTGCACCTGTGTTCAATTCCCAGCCCCCCCCTCCAAAAAAAAAAAGCAATGAAGATACCTACAGAAGAGATAACACACAAAGAGCTATTAACTTAAAGGAGCCCTTGGGTAGATATTATTAGAAAGTGAAGTCTGTGTTGTAACATACTTTTATGTATCAGAGTATTGGAATTAGTTTGGTTTGGTTTTTTTTTTTTTTTAGTTTGGTTTTTGAAATATAAGTAGAGTTTCCCTTCTTTCTTAAGAATATACAATAGGTTAAAGACAATAATGTTAATAAAGCAGCCAGACAACTTCCTACAACCCTATGATTGTTATCTCTCAAACACATCTTTGAGGCATGTAGTCTTAGGTCTACTTAGGGCTAAAAAAGGAAGTCAGCACTTGGCCTCCTTTATTATTGTATTCTGCCATGGAGACTCAGAGTAGCAGGAAGGACTATGTACTATATTACAGGGGCCTGAATTAGTAGACAGAAAGGGACATAGTTAAGGTGGAACAGTTGTCTAAGCTTTGAATTCCTTTGCTTTTTTAGCTTTCTGTTGCCTTGATGTAATCTAAATACAACTTTGTTTCAAAATATCTAACCACAGATTTTTCCCAGTTCTGTTCTAGTCTTATTTTTGACTACACATGTAAGTATAAACAGTTTCTATTAACCAATTAAAACTACAAGATTTTCAATAAGAAAATTTCAATAAGAAAACACAAAAGTCATATTCAAAAAGACAGTTAAAGGTCTCACTTACCACTGGATTTAATTTCTCGGACATAATTACTAGGGAACCAGCCTGTTCTCCCATTTAATGTGCCTTCCCACCAGCCTCCTTCTTCAACTCGAGTGACATAAATGATGTCCCCTTTACAGACTGACAGCTCATCTTCATTAGTCTGCTTAAAGTTGAATCTTGCCTTCACTATCAACTGGTGACTTCCATTTTCCGTCATCTCCTAGAGAAACAAAAGCCACAGCAGATTAAGAGGCATCTAATTGAGGCATAGTAGAAATTATATGGTTTTAGGTAAGACCTATCCTTGAGTGACCAAGAATAAAACCCTATATCCATCTCAGTTCTGATTTTTAAACTTAGGAGTCTATGAATGGCCCTCTGGAGGTATTAATTAACCCCTTGAAATTTTATGCAAATTTTTGCGTTGTCAGAATGTGTATTTTGGATGGGGTCATAGCTTTCATTTCCCTCTCCCTTCATCTATTATCTAAAGATACCTATTTTAACCAACCTAAGTAATAGAGTGAGTGATGATAAACGATTTCACCCTGACTCTGCCCAACACACAATCTTAGCCCACATATTAGGTACTAATCAACTCTCACAGAAATCTGTTCCTACCTTCCAATTACTAAGAACATCTTAATTTGGTTACACTTGGTCCCAAGCAAAGATCGAATATCTCATAGCTAACTAAATTAGGAATAATATTAGCCTGTCTTGCATCAATTGGGCTTAAATTTTTGAGACCCTTTTGAGAAAATAATAAGCACAATGGCTCTTTACCCAAATGAGTTCATAAACATGACTTTTGGTATAAAATTTAATAGGGTACAAATGGTGTGGTGCCATGATGTTTATCAGCTTCTCAATGAGATCTGTGGTCTCAGAAAGGTTAAGAACCACCCGTTTAACTGCTTTGGAAGTAACAGGACATGATGGCCTACAGGGAGCAGGTGGCTTTTGACAGAGAAGAGAGGCTTCACCCAAAGACAAGATGGAGCATTTCCTCCCAAATAAAAACTCCCAATAAGATAAAATGCATCAGGATATGGTGGCACATGCCTATAATCTCAGTGGCTTTGGAGGCTGAGACAGGAGGATCACGAGTTCAAAGCCAGCCTCAGCAACTTGTGAGACCCTGTCTCTAAATAAAATATAAAAAGGGGGGGGTAGGGATGTGGCTCAATGGTCAAGTGCCCCTGAGTTAAATCCCCATACCCTCCCCCCCACACACACAAAAAAAGACCAAATGCAAAGACAACTGGGAGATCTCAATATAAAAGTTCATCGTAGGCTAATATTTAAAATCAAGTCTTACTCAAAGAGAAAAATAAAGGTGACAATAATGCTAAGAACAGCACTGAATATTTATTGATTGCCTACTAAAGTGCCAGGTACCCACTTAGTTCTAATAAACCAAGGAATAGGGAAAATAACAGCAAAGTGTCATCCAGAATTGTCATAATAACTTACATTTGCATAGCACTCTCAGTTAAGTAACTTGCCAGATTCTAATAAGCAGCCAAGCTGGGGCTTTAACCCTGATTTTCAGACTCTGGGCCCCACATACCTGATTTGTTCCAAAGTCTAGCCTGAATGGGTGTTTAGTTTATAGCTAGTTTTCTTGGTGGCACCCAAAACAAACAGAATGACAATTTCACCACAAATGAAAATGCAACTGGGATATGAGTCCTATTTTATGAATTTTAAAACAGACAGGGAGAATTGGGGACTATACTTACCACTGTCTTTGCCTGCTTTTGCAGCCCTGGAGCTGTGCTAGAAACTGCTCCCTGTGGGTTTGTCTGAGAACTGTTAGCAGCACTAAGAGAAGAGGAACGTCCACATGGTCTTTCTGAGAGCTGATCTGTGAAAAGAGGAAAAGGCATGGTAAAGGAAGCACTCAGGTCAGAAAACCATCTACAATATAACATTATCTTGTATGGGACTTTATAAAAAGCATCCTAGCTATAATTCCAATGGTATTGTTATGAACATGCCAACTGTGTTTCAAACCCACCCCCACCCCTGCCTCCTCCCTTTTTGGTGGCCAACTTCTTGTTCTTAACCTTACTGGTCATTGCTCTCCAGTAGAATGAAAAGCAGCGACAGAACCACATTTTCTCTTAACCCATTCCCTACAACTCTTCCTTCCTGAACCAGTCGCAACTATATGCCCTGTTATCCAAGGCAGAACTATATCGGGTACCAAACAGCTGTTTGTGGCTCTTATTACTTTGAAATATTTTAAATTTCTCGCCCTGTTTTCTGGCCCATAACTCAGTGGCTCTTTCTTACATGTAAGGATTTATGTGGCACATACAATCTAAAATCTCCCTAGTGTGCCGTGGGAAGAGTGGAGAATGAGAATAAGAAAGAGTGCGTGTCTGAGACAGATGCGATCTTGATACTAGAATAATTTGTTGTTTAAAATCAAACTCAGGAGTCTTCTCTTCCTTGAAACCTTGTGAAATTTGATCAGACCAAAGCTGAGTTGGATGTTTTCAGTATGCTGAAAGTGTACTAAAGAGAGAATCTGGCTTCTTGACAAATTCAAATGAGGGTTCTTTTCCTCTCCATTTATTTTTAAAAGATATAAACTGCAAAAGTCTAAAGCCCAAACATTCCCTAGGCGACAAGCTCAGTATCCAAGTAATTTCCTTGATGCCGTGGGTTTTAACTTTCACCTTCTTGTATTTTTATAAATATCTGCGGCAAGGGAAGAGACTGTAAAACTTGCTAGGAGAGTTTGGCAAAGGAACATATAATTTGTGTGGCATAATGTTAGAATTATATGATCCTCCCTGCCCAGAACTGGATAGTTGTCATGTGTGTTAAATATAGTTACTTGAATTAGCTGTACTTTCTGCTATACGCCTTGCAATAGCTCAAATGCATTTTTTTCAAATAGCAAAAGAACAACTTTAAAGAAGTATTTTTCCATGTCTTGCTATTATATACAGCTCTTTTGACTAAAACTATAATTACTTGATAGCTTCCTAGATGTTCCATCTTATTTGGCACTTGATTATATTGTCTGTTCTTGCTCTCCAATTGTTTCTGCTGGGTAAGTTGAGTCTCCCTAAATAGATGGTAATTTTTCCAAGGGCAGGGGAACTATGTCTTCCACTTTCTTGGTAAAACCTGGCAGTGCTGGACACACAGCTTCTTGCCTCTCTAACAGTTTGAGCAGGAAAATTCAGATTTGAGTTCAAGGGCTCTCAAGTCAGGTATGAGTTTGAATTCTAACTCATCCACTTTCTAGTTGGGCAACTGTGGACCTGACTTTCCTTATTGATAATAGGGACCTAATAATAATAATGCCTATCCCCAGGTGTGTTTCAAACATGGAATAAGACCACTTAGGGCTCTTAGGACAGGCTAGACCCAGGGAAAGGGTTCAAAGAATCTGAACTATGATTATTACTACCACTTTAGGTAAGACACTGTATCATAGAAGGAGTGAAATTCCACTCTTAAGTTTATCAACACTTTCCTCAAATTTACTAGGATTTATATTTAATAATCTCCAATGTAATGGATGGTAAACATTTAAACAAAAGATACTTTTAATTTACTAAGACCTTGAAGTTTCATTTCCAGTGCAAGGTTACTGAGGGGTTCCTTCAACATACACACAGGCACAGGGAAGACTATGAGAAAAATGTGTTCCTAGTGTGGAAAGGGAAGTGATGGCTGTACTTGGTAAATTTTATTTTAAAAAGAGGGAACTGGTCTTTTCTTTTTTTTTTTTTTTTGTCTTGCTATACTGAGTTGACTATTCAAAAGTTTTGGAACAAAATTGGGTTTTCTTTGTTCCTATTATTGTACTAAGGGCATTAGAATACCTCTGTGATATGCATGTTTAAATATGGTGATAAGTATGTTTAAACCATGAAAAATTAAAGTATTTGATATTTGTTGGGGTTTATTTGGGGGCAAAAGGGGCAAATTTTCACCAATTAATCAATCCAGGGCATGGTTGACTCTTAGAACAATCAGAAACACATGGATTCAAAAATGTCACCCAGAACTCATAAATCACAAACTTTACTTACCTTCTGTTGCTTTGTTGACAGCTAAAAGAGTACTCAGAACCTTGGAGAAATTAACCCCTGAATAAAGGTCATCAGGATCAAATACCTATGAGCAAGAAATATTGAAACTGTAAGACACGATAAGTATTCAACTCAATGAACCAAACTGTGAAAAGGCCACTTCCTCCAGCTCTCGGAGGAAAAAATAAATGTAAAAGCCAAGATGCAAACCTCTGTATACCTTTGGGAGAAATGAGAGCAGCAGCTGAGCTGCCTAATGACATGTGGCAGGCCATCAGTGAGTCACAGCAAAGCAGTAATGGGAAATGAGAGCCAAGCTGAGAAGGCAGCGCCCACCCGGAAATGCACAGCACATACTCAGACCTGCTCTTTTGACCTAAACATATCAATATGCTCAGCCCAGTTACAGGAAGCTCGTGTGCCTAGGTTATAGTTAATGCCTATCACCTACAGAATGTCCTCAACCGTCCACAAATAAGCAGGTGGAGCCTTTTTGACACACTTTCATCTTTACAGTTTATTCTCTGTGTTCACTAGGGGCACTTTCTGAAGTGCATTTCTCTCTAATCCCCTTCCTCCCTAGTGCTGACTGTTGGATGCCAGTTGCCTGGGATCCCAATTCCATGTTGTCAAACTTTCTGCCCAGGTCTGCCTTTTGCCCCCAGCCTCAGTTTTTGGATTCTACTGCTTCATCTTGCCCTTTGCAGTTCATCTTAGAACTGAGAGAATATAAACCTTTGCCTGGCAGAGCCTATGGGTTCTTCCCAGCCTTAGGTGACTTTTCCAAATATAACCTCTGGCCTTCCTGATACCACTCATCTTTTAGCAACAAACTGTTAAGTAAATAGAAAATTTCACTTTCCCCGTCACAATTACATGCTGATATGCTACTGTCCCTAGTGAAGACACCAATCACTTGTTATTGTTTTAAATACAGTTTAAAATTGTTAATTTTTCCATGTATTCAACATGTTAAAATGTATTGAGAGTGTCTATCTTCTTTATAACAGTGAGGGTGAGACTTCTGATCCCTGACTAGCAGGTCATCACCTCTTGGTGGCCTGAAGTAGCCCTAAGAAGATGGATCTTCACCCCTCACCAAGTCTCAGGATTAAGGGATCAATATCTCGGGGAGGGAAATGAGATAGGGAATTAGGATAAAGAGAGAGATATACTGAATCTTAAAGGAAACGTCCACAAGCCACTGAGATGCAGAAAACACACTTGTAAATCTTGAGCTTAAGGTACATGCCCTTGGTCCATGCCCTTGTAAAATGAGGGAAATGTGCAAGCAAAGGAAAAACTGGCACAAAATTGTGTAGCTCCACCCCACCTCCATCTCTTGTCCAGCCCCTAGCAACGACCTTCTGTAAATATTAACACCCCACACCAGTGGGTTATCTCTCCCTCTGGAGATGATAGACCACATTCTCCCTTGAGTGCATATTCCTTGCTTTACCCAAAAGGTATGTCTCTTGTGAGATTGTTCCCCCACCCCATTGTCCCTTGAATGTGTATCTACTCTCCTAAATAAACCTCTGTTTTATGCCTTTAGGAAACAAATGTTGAGACTTCTTATAATCTCTAACACATATGTTTGAAACTAGAAGCATTCTCAGGCATAGGCTCAATCTATTAATTGCTAGTTGACAGTGTAGAAATACAGAAATGCTCCTTCTAAAAAACATCTCATTCCAGGATTTTAAAAGTCTCTTGAAGAAAACAGATTACATCATTATCCCCAAATATGGTGATGAGAGTCACAAGTACCTTTTCAAATGGGACATGATTAATACTGATTTTGAAGGGTCTGTCTTCCCATTAGGTAGAGCCATTTGTTCCATTTTTAATCTGCATATTTTCTGGGAGTCATGTCAAGATAATTTTTATCTTATTTTTGTATACATTCTTGAAGAATCAAACTTTGTTTCTAGAATGGAAATATGTAATATCCTTTTATTCACCAAGTCTGGGGGCAATATAGATTCATGCAAATGTGAGCCTACACAAGTCTGACTATTTTGGGATTCTACTATTCACCCAATCCATGAATGGTTTGGATTCAAAGTTAAATGACTGAAGAGACCAACTGTACCTAAAAAGGAAACACTGCCAGACTTTTAATAAAAGGGTAGCATTAATATTACTAAAGAGTTAAATGACACTACAATCCAAATAATTTCTGACTGCTACAATATAAAATGAGAAGCTTTCCAAGAGCAAATTAAGAATTCTATTTTTGTCAAACCCTGGGTGAACAAGATGCAGTAAACTCTAGAAAGAGTATTTAGAGCCCCAGAGGATTCCAGACATATTGAATCCCCTCAAAAGTGGTCAAGTAGTAAAGGGTTAATGACATCTATGCCAAACTAGTCACAAATCAAAAAAAATCACTTGTCTTTAGCCTGTGATTCTCAAAGGCAGAGTGAATATGTGTGTGTGCATGTAGATATATTCATTGGGTGGGGGGGGAGGTGAGTAGAGTAAAATTATAACCAGAAGTAAATACTAGCAGAATAAGGTAGATGAGATTTCTCCCCTTTTTGTTTTGCTTGCTCCTTATCCAGGTTAATTGACTGCTTATTCATGGAAACGTCAGAATTATTCATTTGTACTAATTTAAGAACAAACTGATCAGAAAATGAAATGTGCACCAACAAGAATCATTGCATCTGCTTGAGGGAAGTTGCCTGGACTGTACAGTTCCCTTTTCAGAAAACCACAATATACTCAAGTCTATCCATGGGTACTGTTGCTGTCACTGCTAAGTCCATTCTATAGTACTAGGAACTATACAGGAAGGAACTGCAAGAGGCCACAAGGGACTGGTATGGAGAGAGAAAAGGCAAAGCCTCACCACTATTATTTCAAAGTAGTCAGAAGCTTAGATACAACTATGAATATCCTATACCACCCCACACCCTCCCAAGCTCCAAATTGAATAATATTAAAAATTCCACCCCAGATTTTTCTTCCATAAAGATCTATCCCCTACAAAATGGAAATATTATTTGGGAAAAAGCATACTTTCAGCCACTTATCACTCATGTTTGCCTTAGTGGAAATGAGAGTGGGAGACCAAGTTTAGAGATGATGATGTGCAGAAAGACTGATGGCTCTGATGCTCAACTGGGAGAAAGCAAGGAAGAATCCCTCAATGTGGAGAGCTGTGAGAAAGGTATATTGCAGTATAGTCCACTTGCTTTGGCCTACTGCCACTCATACATACAAAATAGAGAACCAATTCTTCTATCTGTCTGAAAAGCAGTGGAATATGTTAAAAGGTAAAGTATAGTCGCATGTTTATGTTGTATGCGATTTTCCAAAGTCCTTTTCAAAGGAATTTTTCAAAGTTCCATCATGACAAACTTATGATGATACATACCCATCTTCTGGCATCTTGTACAAGCCTCACTAGCCTGCTTAGCATCTCTAGTATGTAACTGAGTCCCAGAGTAGCTGAACTTTCTTTTTTTAATTATTTTTTTCTTATTTATATGTGTCAACAGAATTCATTACAATTCTTATTACACATATACAGCACAATTTTTCATATCTTTGGTTGTATACAAAGTATACTCACACCAATTCGTGTCTTCATACATGTACTTTGGATAATAATGTCCATCACATTCCACCATCATTTCTAACCCTATGCCCCCTCCGCTTCCTCTCCCTCCCCTCTGCCCTATCTAGAGTTCCTCTATTACTCCCATGCTCCCCCTCCCTACCCCTCTATGAATCAGCCTCCTTAGAGAAGACATTCGGCATTTGGTTTTGGGGAATTGGCTAGCTTCACTTAGCATTATCTTCTCTAACTCTGAACTTTCTTAACATCTATTGTGCAGCAGAAATAAGCTAGTTAGTTCCAGTTAAATCTGTGAAGATCAGATGAACAGCAGGATTTCTGCCCCCCATTCATTTTACCACTACTGTGACGCCAACAAGAAAAAAAAGGACTGCTTCTTAGATTACAGAGAGATAGTTTCAAAGTACCACTTTTGCAACAGAATGAGGCAAGATTCAACTGTAACAACAGCAAAAATATTTACACCACTCTGTGTAAGTAATAGGAGAGACAGGGACTAAACTTCATTAAATATTTTTTTAAGCATTTATAAATTGCCAGCCTAGGGTTCAATCCTATATGAGCAGATACAGAATTGAAATATATATATAAAGACATTTTGCTTTTAAATGTTTATGTTTCCCCACACTTTTCCACTCTGGATATCCACAATGACAACAAAATCTATTTTCTGTCCACTAAACACCAGGTGATAATTCTGAAATGTTGGGATCTGTCAGTACAAATTGAGCAGAAGTTAATATTTTTATGACTTTACAAGTAGATTCTTTTGGAGTAGCTTTCGGTTTCAACATATGTGCTATTTTAAGACACTGTCCCTAAACTGACAAAAGCAATGAAGCACATGAGAAGAAACTCCCCTGATCCCCTGTTCCATTCCCTCACTAATCTTATAGCTACAATTACTGACTTACTGTGCCCCTACCATGTGCCTAACACCATATGTGGAGATTACATATATATTGCTATGGTTGGATTGTTTGTACCCAGGCCCTACATTCTTACATTTAAACCTAATCCCATTTCTGATGGTAATTGAAGTTGGGGTCGTTGGAGGCTGATTAGTTCATGAAGATGGAGCCCTCCTGAATGGGATCAGTGGCCTTATAAATGGGATCCCAGAGAGCTGTCTTGCCCCCTCCACCTAGTGAGGACACAGTAAGCATGTCCTCGCTAGACAGTGAATCTGCTACTAGTGCCTTGATTTTCAACTTCCCAGCCTCCAGAACCATGGGAAATATATTTCCATTATTTATAAAGTATCCAGCTTATGGTATTTTGTTATAGCAGCAAAAATGGACTAAAATGTGTATTTTTTCATTGCATTTGGTTCTCCCAGAACTCCTGCACTAGGGGCACAATTATTTCCTTCATTTCTTAGGAAAACAATAAGACTTGGAGTAGTTAAGTCACAGAACAAGAAAGGGATAGAGCCAATAAAAACACACACATAAGTGCCCTGAGGGGTGTTGTAGCTCTGTGTGCAGGCTTTATGT